TGAAGTGCCATTAAGGGATTAATCTGTAACCTTTATGAACATGTTTTATTAATATCATCTTATCATTAAATTGAATATTAATATTTAACATTTAATAAGCACAAAATGTATATGCAGGAATGTACTTCATGCCAGTGGGTTTTGAAAATGTGGAAAAGTCACTATAACCACCCTGAGAATCATTAAATATTCTCCCCATATTATATGAGTTACAATGGTCCAACTCATGTAAGAGATAGTTCTTGATAACAACAATTATAATATTTTTGTTTGTCAACATGCTGAGCAACATGTCCTCAAGGAATGAAAATATTTGATACAGCTTTTGAAAATATCTGTTGCACTCTTAGGTTCTGGAAATATATTTACCATGTAATGATTCACAATTAAACATAAAACTGGTAAAGTGATGGAAGAAAATTCAAAACTATAAATATTATGGAAAATGATTAAATTTTTTATTATATTACCTTGGTTGTTCTTATTGGTAAAGCAGTATAGTTGTCTACAAAGGTGTACTTCTTAAATGACTGGATAATTAAAATCAGTTTTTATTTTTAAAATGTGTTGATTAAACAATTTTTTTATCTTAAATAAAACATGTCTTTATACATATTTATGTTTGATTAGATAATTGCTTATGACTACCAGTATGTTTGATAGGTGTCCTGGTGCTGAAAACTCACTCTTTTTCCTAAATGACAATTAAGAAAGCTATGGTTGCATAAAAAACTAACTTTTGTAAAGGTTCTGTCATGTAGAAGAATACCTGAGAATATCTCATGCAGGTTTATCTCCATTTTAGATAACTCAGTAGTAGGGTCAAGGTTTTTACCGATTATTTGGTTTCTTTTCTTTTCCACCTTTAATGATAACTCATCTTTATGAAATAAAACTAATATTTAAGTAAACTTTCATAAGATATTTCATTAATTCTTATTATTTTGTTTGTCATTTTGATATCATCAAAATACCTTTAGGGATTGTCAGTAGTGGGGGGGGGTGGGGGAGGGGTGGTGGTGTGGAATTGGCAGTTGAGGGAAACTAGAGGAGGGAGGGGCACACCTCATCAACAAGGGTACCTGCATAATGAACATTTGTATATAGTACCCCACATCTTTAAAATTAAAAAATTAAATACCTTTAAGATTGTAAACATAAAATGCATGTATATATGTGTGTGTATATATATATATATATACACACACACATAAATGAGTATTTATATGATTTTTGCACGGTTGAATGACTTTTGGAAAAAATCTCTTAAATTAGATGAATACTTTGAAAATAGCAAAAGGGGGGTAACCTCCTTGGATTCCCTCCTGCTGTGGGAGCTTGTCTGTCCTCTTAATAAATTCTGCCTTCTCAAATAGCAAAAGGGAAATCTCTAAAGAATATTCTACTTCTGGAAGTAGAATTAGAATTTCCTGAGTACAAGGAGTCTAACATTTTCTGGTGCTGAATAATAAATCAATTTTGTATTTGCTGAATGTTTACTTTATTCCCAGATTGACTTAATTTTCATCTGGAACAGAGGGCTTAAACAGTTGTACATGTGAACATAAGCAGTACATTTCCAAGACTAAGTGACCAAAACACAGGTGAAGCCAGCAGATTTGATGATGAGGCAGTGAATGTTGTCCTCAATGCCAGAGCAATTTTATTCCACTCTTTTTGTCTCCTATGGGTTACAGAGCTCCTATACTCTATGAGAGCTCATGCCAGAGCATTGCTCACAACTCAGTTGCCGCTATGGGAGGTATTTTTCTCCCTCCCATATCCAGGGAATATTTTTTTTTTTTAAATAAAAACTTTAAAACTGAATTCAAGGATATTTGGAATTTATACCTGCTATCCCAGCATTTTGTGAGGCCAAGACAGGAGGATTGTTTAGCCCAAGAGTTCAAGACCAGTCTAGGCAATATAGTGAGATCTCGTCTCTATTAAAAAAATAAATAAATAAATAAAATTAGCCAGGTGGGGTGGCACATGCCTGTAGTCCCAGCAACTCAGGAGGCTGAGGTGAGAGGATTGCTCGAGCCCAGGAGTTTGAGGCTGCAGTAAGCTATGATTACGGTAGTCTGGCATGAGCAATAGAGTGAGACCTTGACTCAAAGAAAAAGAAAAATAATATTTTGAATTTAGAGAGTATCTTACTTTCACTGCTCTATTTAATTAATACAATGTCAAGTCTACTCATAGGCGTAAAGGTCAAGGATTGTTAGTGATTGTTTTCATTCAAATGAATTGTTTCAAAAAATCACTGAATAATCTGTCTGTTCAAGACTCTTCTCTCTCCACTGCAGCCCACCATGTACTCATTATCAACTGAAATTTCTCACTAAAGATACAAAATCTACTGTTCTTAAATTAATTAAGGCTTAAAATGCAAAATTAACCGAATTGATGTATCTTGCAGTATTGTTGAGGGCCTACTAAGTTCCTCCCTCTAGTAGGCCTGATAAAATCAAATTAAATCACCATGACTGAAAGCTTTCTATGTTCCCACTACTGAATTAGACATGATAAAAAATAAGTAACATATTCTTTATCCTCAAATGGAAAGTAATGAGATCACAAAATATCCTTAAGATTATGGATTGGGGTACAACAGGAAAAAAGGAGAAGTGAATATTAGAGACCAATTGGACATGTCAGAAAAAGGTATGACTTGCAGGGTTCTGGCTTGCATGATAAAGTAGACTTTACTGTTCATTGATCATTAGAGTACATCTGTGGTGAAAAGTGATGGAGAGGCCGAGGCAGAAGAACATGAGTGATAGAAGAAATAGTTATCCAGAGCTCTATAAAGTTGGGGTTAGTGCTAGAGAAAATTATAAATTAATTCAGTTTTGTGCTGTGGCCCTGATTTGGTCTTTTCAAACTCAATGCTCACTGTGTAAATTCTTTGTCACTTTTCATCTGGACTAAGTGGTCTTCTGTTTTCCAGGCTTTATATTACAACCAACGTGGTTATTCTGAAATGAAATCTAATCACCTGACTTTCTTACTTAGAACCTTTCACTGGTTTACTATTGCCCATAAGATCAAGCCAGATTTTCTTATGTTGGGATACTACGCCCTGTGTGATATGGCTGCAGCTTGTTCTCTCATCACTTCCCTTGTAGTTGCCCACTCTGGTCATACAGAGATATTGACCCTGATTTCACTGAAAACACAGTGCTGTGTTATAATTTCATGTCTTTGCTCCTGCATATGATGTTGTCTTCACCTCTTCTGAATTTTTTTTTATTCTAAACATTTGTAACTGGTGACACCCATCATTCTTCGAGATGCCGTTTAAATACTACTGTCCGTCATGAACCATTTTCTGACCTTTCCTGGTGGCAATTTACCATCCTTTATCACTAGACCTTACATCTCTACACTAACACACAGACAAACGTGTATCAATTTTTTACATAGCTGTCTCTCTTATAAAAGCATGGTTTAGGTTGGAAATAAGCCACAGATGCACTAATTCATGGCTTTCTGCCAAAATGCATATCTTTCTACTAGTGAATAAAGGTGCCTGTCTGAGATTTTCCCAGACAAAATTCCTCCTTTAGCAATTTGACTAAGTGGGAGGTCACCATGCATTCCAACCTTTTAGAAGATGGTACTCTCGATGTCAAACATATGCAAAAGAAGAAAGAAGAGTATAATTAATTCCATTGCTCAGTTTCAACAATTATTAACTAATGGTCAGTTGTGTTTTATTGTGAACTTCACGACAACTTGGATGGACCTAGAATATATAGACAAGTGATCTATAACAGAAACAAAGAACTGAGTATCATGTTCTCACTCATAAGTGGACCTTGAACAATTTTTGCAATTTTCACAATACTAAGAAAAGGATTGGCAGGAGTGGGAAACTGCTGGGGGGGTGGGCAGAGGAGGTGGGATTGGCAGTAGTGGGAATCTGCTGGGGGAGCGGGGAAACACCTCATCAACAAGGGTGCCTGCGCAATGAACATTTGTATACCTAACCCTGAATTGTAACCCACATCTTTAAGATTAAAAATTAAAAATAAAATAAAATAAAGTCTGTAGCTTCACTCTTCCTCTTCTCTCCAAATATTTTGAAGCAAGTCACAGTCAATATTTCACTTGCAGATATTACTGTATATATGTCTAGAATACAATGACACTTATAGGAAACATATTGATACCATTAGCACATCTAAAATATTAAAAATTTCTTAATATCACCCAATAATTGTATTCAATTTTGTACTACTCAATTTTAAGTGACTTGTTTGAATGAAGACTTAGTAAGTTCTATACTTGTGAATGTTTTCTTTTTTGTCTAGAACAGTGGCTCATCATTGGAGACAATTTGACCCTATTGGGGATCTTTTGTCAATGTCTGCAGATACATTTGTTTTTACAGTTGAAAGAAGGCTGCTACCGATACCTAATGTGTGAAGTCCAGGGTACTGTAAAACATCCTACAGTGAACAGAAAGGCCACCTGTGAGAATTAGTCAACCCAAAATAACAACAGGACAAAGTTGAGAAGTCCTGGACTATAGTTTCCTTCTTCACTTATGTTTTATTGTAATTATTGTTGAATAAATGGGGTCATTTGTCCTATAATGTTTCCCACAGTGTGTATTTCACTGATGACACACGATGATATCATTTAACACACTTCTCTATCCCTTGTACTTATTAGCAATTAGATCTAGAGGCTTCATCAGATTCAGATTTTTTTTTTTTAGGCAAACTACTTTATTCTATTTCATAGATAGCACTGCGTACTTCCATCAGGAGACACACGATGTCTGATGATCTCTTTCTCATCAATATGGAAAACTGTTGATTGACATTTAAATGTATGGGTTCACAAGGGGTTGAAAAATGATGAGACTACAGTTTTATAATTTCTTTATTTATTGCAAACATCACTGCTTCTTGGAATATTCATTGCAATATTTGCTATGAAAATGGCAGTGTGCACAAAACATTTACACATTCCATATTTCTTTTCAGAAACATCTTATACCACCTCAATGAGAAGACAAACCAGTTTGCAATACTTGTGGAAGCTTGGGAGCACTGCAAGTCACTCACATCAAATGAGACCCTTCAAGAAGCCCTGTCAGAGGTGTTGAACAGCATTAATTCAGCTCAGGTTTACTTCAAAGCAGGACTTGATGTGTTCAAGAGTGTCTTGGTTGGAAAGAACTGAGAAAACTCAGCATTTTAAAAATTGTGTTTACAGTTCCACAAGCAAAAGCTCTAATCTGACCCGATTTTTTGACATTGAAAACTTGTTTCCCCCCATGGCTTTTCAACAAGTGTAAAGCAATCATTACATGTATTTTTAATTGTACATATAAAAAGGACATTTTGCACATTTAATATTTTTCTTATATCTATATTTCTGAATATGTAAAAGCAAGTTATTGAAATAATACTTAAAACTTATCTGTTAAAAATAAATCTGTATTTTTATATATGTAAACTATATTTTGGAGAAAGTTCCAATGAGTTCTGGACAATCTTTGCTCTTATGGACAGAGCACATAGGGGCACAGGTTATTTCCTCTGACAGAGCTATTGATGACATAGTTTCTGCAATAGAAATGGAGGGTTGATATCGTTTTAGATGAATTTCACTACTAGGTGTTCAATATGAAGAATTCAAGTATTCTGAGTGACTGATTGACCAAAACCACTTTGAATGTTTCTATTTTATGAAATGAAGTTTCTCTTCTTAACTCAACTAGATGTAGTAATACACTGGTTATGAAATTGTATTTTTAAAGTATTAATGAAAAAAGGAGCCATAAACAATCCAGGGGAAAATCTCAAGGTAGCTGCACAGAGCAATTTAAATGCAAATTTTTTTCCTAACAGCTTATAAGGTGACTAGCTTTGAAACCCCTAATTTGCCTCAGTTGATTTTATAAGAATTTCAGAAGTGATGCGTGTCTTATAAGGGAGGAGATATTTCTTATTTTTTCTTCTGTTGTTTCTGTTGGAAGCACTGAAACAGAGACTACTCTAAAATGAAAGACTCTCATGCACTAGTTTCCTTCCTTGTATCTTTTCTGAAACTCCTTGCTGTAAAGCCATTTCCACAGGATACTAGATAATGTCCACAGGAAGGAGCAAAATTTCTCTTTGAAAACCCAAAATATCTTATAAACCATCAAATTGCTATTTCTGCCTCTGACAAAAAGTTCATACTATAAAAAAAGTTGTTTCTGTCCGTAAAAGCTCCCTAACTCTATGAAATTTTTTTTTCTTTATTGTTAATTGTAACTAAGATGAGAATGTAGCAAATAGTTATGCTTCTAAGTTTATGTGGTATTTCTGTAAGACAGTGTTTTCCCCACACTTCATGTCTTCTCTCACGTGGAAAATTAAGCTTTTCATATTCACATTGTCATTAAATAGCCCTGGCATCTATAATTTCCTGAAACCCTAAAATTCTGTCTACTAGGTAACAGGTTAAACTTAAAGTTTGCCTTTAGAAATTGATTTTTTAAAAAGTTCTTCTGATATTGGATAAAGCAATTCCCTTTAAAAAACATGTCCTCCGAATATTTCACGTGAATTTTCTCTGCCTAACTCAACACTCAAACTTCCCTGTCACACACTGCCAGAGCAACATTGCAGATAGTCCTGTATGTTTCCAACTTCACTTTTTATGGAGGAGCATCAATCTAATCTTAGTTCAAAGGAAAGTTAAATTTGAGAGGAAATAATTAATCACTATTGATTAATTGATTTGTAAAGGATCAACTGTTTCTATCCTATGTAATGTTTATATGCTCAAGGCAAAGTAGAGAATTGAGGCAATTAGCTAGATAATTCAAGCAGAAATTCATTTTCATCTAAATTGTCTGTGTGCACATATTTTACATGAAAAATGAAACTACCTTACGATATTAGACAATGTACTTGTTTGAAACTATTTCCCATGTTGAAGTGGTGTACAGGAAAGGTCTAAAAGGATCGGGATCCTGTGTGCCTTGACATGAGTGCTCTTTTTTGCTGTGCAGAGAGCAGCAGAAACGATGTGGGCATACACATAAGGCATATGTGAGCCCACTAATTGAACGTCTTATCCCAAAGGATCTCAGATATTTAATCAGAGGTCAGTGTGTTCATTCTAGTTCTTCACTTGGAGTTGACTTTAAGACAAAGAAAGGCTAGCTAGAATCAGTTTGGTAGTTCATCATTTTAGAACACAATCCCAAATAAATTCACTCTCATAATGTACAATAGCATTGAGTGTTGAAAATATTTTTCCTCTTCATTTTTGTTTAATTGTATAGCTAGGTAAGTCCCACTACATAGGTAAATATTTTATAATTCTGTATTCCTCACTTCTAAATGATATGGTCCTTGCTATTTGAAAACGGCAGTTAACTATGGACTGAGATCGTTTTATGAGTCTATTTAAGAGATGTATGAATAAATGAAATTATAATTAAAGTAGGTGTTCAACAAACCTATGGATGATGCTCTGCAACTTTGACTGCAACAAACCTCTTCACTAGCAACATTACTGTGATGACATGATTACCCCAGCTTTCCTCCAAATTTATGCTGTTTTACTCCCACCCCCCAAAATAGATCCAAGTATATACAATCCTGAGCAAGTGTTCTGTGGATTGGTATTGGATTAAAACTGTTGCTGAGCCATCTGGGTGCCTAGTACTTGTCACGATCCTTCAAACACAATTGTGTCAGGAAGTAATGAATCATGATGATTATTCTCCCAAGAAAATGTGGCAAATGTGTACCCGTAAAATTTGTGTTCAGGCAGGGTACACATGAGATATTGCTTTTGAACAAAGGCACAAGTTTCAGAATCAAAAGGAAGTCTAAGAAATCTTCTGGTGTAAACCCTAGGATCTTGACTTTTGGCAGAGTAGGCATTGGCCCCATCAGATAGAGTGACTGAACCCAAAGTGACTAAGAAACTTGAACATAGTCACCTATTTAGTTAGTCTTGCTCTCCCCCTGAACAGGTGGTGTTATAGACAATCACCCCCAGTGCATTCTATGTAACCAGTGATTCTGTCAGATATTGTATGGGCTAGAAACACTGCTTTTAATTCAAGGCAAGCTCATTCTCTGACTTTACTTGACAAATGAAACTGTTCCAGGAAATCCAGGCAAGAGATACAGGGTCCTGGAGAGAAAATGGGAGAAGTCTTTACACAGCACCAGAAGTTAGGAAAAGGGGACATCAAGTTCAATTTTTTTCATTAGAGGACAAGTTAGCCCAGTAGTAAGTCAACAACCTAAACAAATGTTTCTCAAACTGTGGAGTTTGGAAAGAGAGGTCTAGAAATCTTCATCTTCAGCAAGATTTCTGGATGATCCTTTTCACGCACATCGAAGTTTAAGAATTTCCAATCTAAATTAATCCTAGGTCCCCAAAAAGCATACATAGTTGACAGCATATTTATCTAAATTGAAGCATCACAATAATAAAGTTCTAAACCTTTGCTGTTAATGGCACCCTTGGGAGAAAATAAAAGACCCATTTTAACTCTAATAAAAAGAATCAGTTGCAGCAAATATCTGTGCCTGCTACATACCAGACACTGTTCTAGTCTTTTTTTTTTTTTGAGTTGGAGTCTCACTCTTGTCATCCAGACTGGAGTGCAGTGACCGCTCCCGGTCACTGCAGCCTGCTGGGCCCCGGCGATCCTTCCGCCTCAGCCTTCCAAGTAGCTGAAACTACAGGTGTATGTGCCACCACGCCTGGCTAATTTTTTTATTTATTGTAGAGATGAGGTCTCACCAAGTTGCCCAGGCGGGTCTCCAACCCGCAGGCTCAGGCAATCCACTCACCTCAGCCTCCCAAGGCGTGGGATTACAGGCTGAGCCACCGAGCCCGGCTAGGTCTGAATGCATGGAAAAATCCATTTAAAAAATGAGGCAACTAGGTTAAGCAACTTATCAAACATTCCAAAACTTATCATAAAAAAGGTGAGGTATCTTTCTATGCTGGGCCTGCTGGTATTCAATTCTGTGTTCCTCACATTAAGGGCTCCAAAAAAACCCCAAAAAACAAACAAACAAACAAACAAAAACCAGAAGAATCTTTTAATTCTAGAAGGTGATATAATTTAAAAATTTAGTGTACTTCTCAAAAACTGATCAAACTATGCAGTCTGTTATTACTTTGAAATAATGAAGGAGTTGGAAGAAACAAATGACATAATTACTGAAGATGGTAGCCTAACTCAGCAGTCGTGTACATATATTGGTAAGTTTGAAGGTATCTATAAGAGCACTAAGAGTAAGCGCACCTTTGTAGAATATCATGGCAACTAGATTTACAAATAGTAAAAAGAAACTAGAAGTCACAAATCTCACATTGATTTTTTCTCTAAATGCCTATATAATTTCACAGAAAAAAAGAAAAAAAGGATGCTGTGAATTAGAACCACAGTTCCAATTATTCTTAAAAACACAGAAAAATTAATGACTTTTTAAATTAAATAAGTATGTAGCATATAGTAGGTATCCCCACTGAAAGTATAGGTACTACAAAAATAAAATCAATGATTTGTTATCATCTTACCAATGATGAATCAGTGTCTTTGCCTCAAATGAAAAACTATACTTATTTGTACAATAAATTGATAGATCCAGCCAAAAATAATCTCGGAGTCATTCTGGGTTAAGGGTAATTAATTAACCTAAAAATTAAGCTTTCTCTGAGGGTAACACATTGCCATCTCATTGGCTTAATAGACTATTTAAATGTGCCTCAGCTACACATTTGCTCAATAGAAAGGAGTTATTTTAAGCTACCAATTCATATCTTGAGTGGAAGGGAGGTTGGTCCACATATTCCAATAAATATATCAGCGACATACAGTTAAAAAAAATTCTGCCTAGCCTTACTAGTGAATTTTTATTTCTTGTATGAGTTTAAATTGCTAACTTTAAAAAGCCTCATTAGAATCTGCTATTCTGAAAGAACTTAAAAAGCTTCACAGAGTTATCAGAACCCGATTAAGTGAAAATACTTTTAAGTTAAGTGGGTTTGTTTTGTGCTATTCACAATTTTAAGTGATATGAATTTGAAGAAGAGTAGCAAAAGAAATTTATAAAATGTAGCCTTTTTTTGGGTATCACCATGTCTTCTTAATTGTCTGCTTTCTTTTCTAGATACACTATGGCATTATAAATTATTACCCCCTGAGAAATAATTTTAAGATATATCTGTCTCAATACAAATGTATCTGTTAATCAGCCAGAGGTCTAGTTTTATAATATCTTTTCATTATCCATCAAAGACAAACACTAAAGTGCCTTTAGAATCCCTGGGACTGTCAAGAATCTTGATATTTTGCTTACTGCAAGATGATATGTTTCTTAAAGACATTTATAATTTATTTTCAGATTGGATCAGAATATGCAAATTAAAGGGTTAAATTGAGGCTGTTTCTGGTAGCATTTAAAAAAAGA